TTGGACTGGATGGTCTTAGAGGTGTCCTCCAATCCTGATGGTTCTAGGATTTGCCTGGGGTGTGAATTGGGGGTTTCAGATGTGCATGTCCATACACAGAGCTGCAAAAGGACAATCTCCTTAGCAAATACAGAGTACTTTGTTAAGGATCTGACCCTGTCAGAAATTCTTGTGTTAGAAAATAAAGCAAAAGGCCTGATAAAATGTAATTAGCTGGTAACAAAGGAGCTTTGTATCTTTTGTAGGTCAACAGCTGAGTGTGTTTGACAAGAACTGAAAGTCTAATGTCTCCTGTAGCAACCATGACACTAGTCATTTTTAAATCCACAGTGCCAACGGGACTCTGCTTTTCATTAGCCTTGCCCAAATTTCTGTGTATCCTCCGAAGTCATTTAGCTCCTGGATGGAGAGTTAGGGATCCTTGTGATTAGGGAAAATGGCAGTTTTTAACGATATTCAACTGGTGCTGTGGAGGTTTAGCAGGAAACTTGGGAGAAAAAGACTTCCAGCATTAAAAAATCACAGCACTGCAAAATTACAAGCAAAATTACAAGTAGAATTGTCTATTGTTATTTCAAGAGTGACTGTGACAGAGAACTGAAGATAGGCCAAACCACTACCTGTTGAGTAAAATACCACCTTAGGTCAAAATGAGTTTCATCTAGATATGTCCCTAATAAAGAAGTGTGTACAGTTGAGAAGTCTCAGAGCTAAAAAAATCACAGCACTGCAAAATTACAAGCAAAATTACAAGTAGAATTGTCTATTGTTATTTCAAGAGTGACTGTGACAGAGAACTGAAGATAGGCCAAACCACTACCTGTTGAGTAAAATACCACCTTAGGTCAAAATGAGTTTCATCTAGATATGTCCCTAATAAAGAAGTGTGTACAGTTGAGAAGTCTCAGAGCTAAACTCCTGCAGCAGTTCTCTCTTCCTGTTAGGAAGCACTTCTTGCTTGTTTTTTGTTCCTCCAGAGGAGCTGAGCTCTCCAACAGCCTTGTCTAGGCAGAGGGATGTAGCTATGGAGCTCCTGCAGTGCTTCCTGTAAAGCTGGAGAAATCCAGGGAGTAGAAGAGGCTTCACCCTGGGCCCAGGAGCAGAGCAGCAGGTTGGCAGCTGTGCCCATCAGCTGAGTGGTGCTGGCAGGGCCAGTGCTCACAGGCAGAGGAAGTTGAGAGGCCCCTGGCAGCACACAGGGGCTGGAGCCTTCTGTGGGAAGGATCTGCCCTTGATCTGCCACTGGTGTCTGATTTCTGCTGGCTCCCTTTTCTCTCTGTTGGGAGTGAGGTGTCTGTTCACGTGTGTCACCAGGGTTTTCCCTGGGTGCTGTGTACTCCTTTCTGTGTATATTGGAGTGACTGCATGGTCCTTGCTATCCCTCAGAAACCACTTCATATTTGGAGTGGCAGTTGCAAAGTATTCAGCAGATCCTTGTTTGGGTTGTGTGTATTTTGGAGAACAGTTTTTCTGCACCACAGTGTTCTAGACCTGCCGTGTGTCAACCCAGAAGCACCCAAAGCAGGCTGAAAGCAGCTCAGTTCTGCTTCTTTGGACTGTTGACCAAACTTGGTCACTTGGAAAAGCTATTTCAGGGGCTCCTGCTTAATGTCCTTCATGTGAAGTCAGCAGCAGGTTGGGAACCAGTGTGTGAGCTCACTGTCCCAGCCAGATTTTCTCCACCTTTGAGCCAAACTGGAGTGGATTTCAGGATCCCAGGGGAGGTCCTACTGTTGGCATTGCTGGGTGGTTCAGCTGCAGTAAAACTGCTTTAAGCCTCCAAATTAAAAGGAGAGAAAGGAGTTCTACAGAGAGTTCTCAGAGACACTGAGCAAGACGTTACAAATACCTCAAGGAGATAAAAATGGGTATTGAAACTAGGTTGGAATTATGACCTGCTATGCCTAGGAGTCAGCTTTGAAAGGAGAGTGGTGGAATATTCAGTAATTATGATCCTTAGTGTAAACAAGTATTTTGGTTCATGTTGGCATTCAGATATTTTTTCTTAATGAATTTTCGTGCTGTGCAGTTTAAATGGATGACGCCATATTCTCATGGCAGAGATAAATCTAAACCTGAAAACCAAAACTTTGAAGTAAGTTACTATGAAGTGTTTATATATACAGTGTAGGTTTATTATAACTTAAGAGTTAGTATATTTCTTCCATGTTTTCTGTTTAAAAGCCAAAGTCACTGTTGAACAACAGAGCTGGAAGGTGCATCCTTTGGATGGCAGCAGTGCTGTGTGGGACTTCATTCTGTCTCCTGGTGTTCTGGGGCATTAGAGTCTAAAGTTAGTCAATACTTTGCATTCTAGAATGTTCTCAGAAGTGTCTGTTCAGAGTCATAGAATGAGCAAGACTGAAGGAGATCTCTAAGATCATCAAATCCAACATTTAACCTGTCACTGCTGGAACCCCTAAACCCTAAACCAGATCCTCCAGTGCCACATCCAGACACCTCTGAAACACCTCCAGGGATGGTGACTCCACCACCTCCCTGGGCAATATCCCAGGGCCTCAACACCACAACAGGGAAAACATTTCTCCTCACATCCAATCTGACTCTGCCCTGGTTCAGCTCAAGGCCATTCCCTCTAGTCCTCTCCCTGCAGCCCTGGCAGGACACACATCCCCCACCTCTCTCCAGCCCTGGCAGGAGCTGCAGAGAACCATGAGGTCACCCCTGAGCCTCTTCTCCAGGCTGACCAAGCCCAAGTCCCTCAGCCCTTGCCCATGTGCTCTAGCCCTTTGCTGCCCTCGTTGCCCTTGGCTGGACTCGCTCCAGTGCCTCAATGGCCTTTGGGCAGTGAGTGCCCAAAGCTGAGCACAGCACTGAGCTGGGACCTCCCCAGTGCCAGGGTGTTTGGATCTTGCTGAAGAGGTGATAGTCTTGCTCAAGGTTAATTGATCCTTTCTCTCCTGCAGGTTCATGTTGGGGAGAGGTCTCAAGCGCAAGCTGAGTGACTATGAGGAGAACATGGCTGGACTCTCCAGTGCCTTTGACTCCAGTCGAAACCTGCCATACCCACTCAAGAGGCAGTTGGTGCTCAACATGTGCCTCACCAAGCTCCAGACATACAAGATGCTGGTGGAACCAAACCTGCGCCGCTCTGTCCTCGTAGCCAACACCGTGCGGCAGATCCAGGAGGAAATGAGACAGGAGAGCAACCAGCAGCCCATGACCATCTGCCCTGGCATCGCTCCTAGTTTTCACAGCTACACAGGGGTGGAGCCATCTTGGATTTCCCTTCAGTTTCCTTCAGGTGTTGGTCAGCAGGAGCCTCACTGCTGCGACTGCGACGTGCTGTCGGGGGAAGACCCCATCGAGAACAGCCTGCTGATTGTCTCGGATGATGACATGTCATCTGCTATTTCATCCATACTGAAGGATCTAGACTTTGTAGAAGATATAAGCCCTTCTACATGTCTGGTTCCTACTGGAGATGACCAGCCCAGGTTTGCAGAAAATCCTGGTCTAAAGCTAGAAGACGAGAGACAGGATTTGAAGGGAGCTGAGTGTGTCTTTGGTTCCTTTGAGATTTCAAACTCAACCAGTTACTTGAAGGATCTGGCAATAGATGACATCTTTGAAGACATTGACACTTCAATGTATGACTCAGACTTCTGTTGCCCCCCACTTATGCCACCCAGATCACCATCTCTTGCTGCAGAGGAACCGCTGAAAACCTTCCCATCCTGTAATTCTTCATCAGCAAACAACATTCAGATCTGCAGAACAGACCTGAGTGAGCTGGACCACATCATGGAGATTCTGGTTGGATCCTGATACTTGTTTTACCCAAAGATACTTTTGAGCTGCCACTTTCACTTGGTTTCAGGAAAAAAAAAAGCCACTGGAAACCTTGTAAAGAATCCTCGAAAACACAAACTAAAGAGCAATTTGTAGTAGGATTTTTCTAACCAATTCCAAACCTTAGAAACCAAAAAGAAAAAAAGTGGCAGATTTTTGGGTTTTTTTAAAGAAATATTTATTTATCAAAACTGTGCAATCATCATTCTCCTTCCTTGCAGGGGGTGTGTGTGTGTGGAACCATAGGCATGTGCCCTCAGCACCTCTCCTGCCTCTGTCAATAGACTTTTTTAATGTGCAATTTTTGATTTGTCAGAAGAATTTACATGCAAAACGAATTTCCTATGAGATGATCTTTTACAAAGCCTCCACTTTATTTTTCATAGCAGAGTCTATGCCAGGTTGGCACCTGCCAAGCTGCAGAGTTTGGACCGTGTGGATTGCAGACACTTTCCTAAGAGTTTGGGTCTATTTTAACACTGAGACATTCTTTGCTTTCTCGCGGTCAGAAAAAGCAAGATCAAGACACTTCCCCACAAAGTCTCTTTGCGTTTTCTAAAGCGTTCAGAACTATTTATTTTTGTAAATTTTATAGCCTTTCTACATTTTACTACATTGTTTCATCATAGTTCAGATACCATGGACTCCTAGTTGGATGTGTTTAGCACTACCTCTGAGCTGAAATGCTTTAACTCTTTCGAGTGCTTCATCTGAGACTGCAGATCTTTTTGGGTTCTGTTTTGTTTTGCTGGGGGGGGGAAGGTCCTTCTAACTCCTTGAGCTGATCCTTTGTGACCTAGCTGCTTTGTGAAATCAAGGGTATTCAATGTTTTAAAACCTTTTTAAGTATTTGCAAACGTAATTTATATGTAGATTGTGCAATTTACCATTTTTTTTCCTGTCAGTATTATGTGCTTAGATTTGGAAGAATCTCAGCATTCCTTCAGTTCAAACTCTCCCTGTGTATGTTGGATTCTCTGGTGGGAAAACACTGTCCTTCAGCCCTGCTCTCACTGCAGAGCGTAAGATGAGTTTTTATGTGCAATATTATTTAAAAAGACACATTTCTAGAACTTGGCATTGTGGGAAGAAACACTTCAAACCTCTAGCACCTTCGGAGGATACTGAGAGTCACCACAGAACCATCAAGGTTGGAGGAGACCTCGAAGATCACCGAGTCCAACCGTTCACCTGTCACTGCTGTAAGCCCTAAAGCACATCCCCCAGCATCAGATCCCACGTCGTGGATGCTGCGGGGAGCCAAGCTGAGAACATTTACTGCTGCAGCAGCGCTGGGAGAGCTGCTGGCACAGCCCTGGGTGAGTCACAGCCATGACTCAGTTCCGCCCATTGCTCAGGCTCTGACGTGGCCCCAGGCAGGTCCTGCCTGGCCTTGGGCTCATCCTGCTGCTGCAGCCTGTGCTGGGCAAGGATAGACAACCAGCAGAGATTTGCAGTGAGAACCACTTGGATCCTGTGTTTCAGCCTGAGCTGAGGTCTGCGTCCCTCCCTGCCACCACCGTCTTCTCAGTCACACACTTGCACATTACTTTTTTGGGGTTGTTTTTTTTTTCTCTTCTTATTTTTTAATTCTCAAATTTTTCCTTTGTTCTGGAGAGCTGCAGCACCTGTCTTGTAAGAAAGCTTTGCTTTGGTTTATGGTATTTTTTTGGAGGGGTTTTGCTGTTGTTCTGCTGAGACTTTTCCCACATCAGCAGAGGAAATAAGTGTTCCCTGTGTGTTGCATCTCACACAGGTTGAGATCCTGGCCCTGGTGAAGGGCTCAGGGATGTCACCTGGGGTTTCTAGTCTTAACTGGTGCTGTGGCACACCAAGATCTCCATGTTTTCTTGTGATTCTCTCAGTTAACACTTAGCTGCCAATACACTTTGGTATCCCAAGGCCATGGAGAACCAGTTCAGGTCACATCCTCACAGCCATCTGGGTCTGTTAGCAACCCAAGGGTATAAATGTATTTATATGCATATATTGTATGGATTCTAATATAAATCTTGCTGATCTAAAGTATTTTGCATTGCTGGATAAAGGGATTTGCTTGAAGAGTGTATGATTAGTCCTTGATGAGGTACAGCTTGGGAATGTACACGGATTGTGCATCATCTCTAGACTACTCTGGCTTTTCCTCAGCCTCTACTTTTGTATCCAAACTAGGACTGAAGAAATCCTTCAACTGTTAAGGGCCTTCTGCACTGTGATGAAACAGAGTTGTGGTGAAAAATGTCTTTGGGTTCAGTAGTTCAGAGGAGAGAAGAAAACTGCATCTCACTTCTTTTTGTATTCAGAAACGTGGAATGTGACTATGCAGGAAAGATATTTTGGTATGAGAATTTGTATCCACGTAACAAATAGTGAACAGTTATTAAAGCCACTTACCTTGCAGCCCCTACAACAACAGTAGATAATTTGCTTTTCAACCTTTACACACTTGAGGATGGTGGGGTTTTTTTGTATACTACAGGAAAAAGAGAGTAAGTCCTTGGTAGATGTTTTATCAGCCACTCAAAATGCAATTTTTCGTTCGAGTCCTTGCTCCAAAGCTCTGTTTCTCAGTGGTTGCTTGTGTCACAGTGCCAAGACCATCAGCTGGGATGGAATGCAGTTGGGTTGTGTATGGAATTACGTGCAAAGGGAAGTTTGATTTTTTTTAAAATATGCACAAACAACTTTTGAAATCCTTCCATGTAAAATGAAGTTAGAGGCTAGTTGTGGTGGACCTATTTATTGTATGTTTGGAAATAAAAGCCACAGTTTTGCAGTTTAAACCATTGATCTTTTGCAGCCTTCAGTTTTTCCCTGGGGTTAAGAACAACACCTTGGCCTGTTCCTCACAAAGGTGTGACATTTCCCCAGGGTTTTGTGCCTTTATTTCATCTTTACACCACCATTTCTCCCCAGAAATACTAAACCTGGCCAGAAATCATACAGGGCAGAGTCAGATTGGATGTGAGGAGAAATGTTTTCCCTGTTGTGGTGTTGAGGCCCTGGGATATTGCCCAGGGAGGTGGTGGAGTCACCATCCCTGGAGGTGTTTCAGAGGTGTCTGGATGTGGCACTGCAGGATCTGGTTTAGGGTTTGGGGGTTCCAGCAGTGACAGGTTAATGGTTGGACAGGATGATCTTAGAGGTCTCCTCCAGCCTTGGTGGTTCTAGGATTCCATGATCAGTTCTGTAAGGCGGATGAGTTATAATGAGTTGCTATCAAAACCCATATTAGCAGCGAGGAGTTAAGCTCTGAAGATGCAGAAGTGTCTGTAGAAATGTGTGTGCTACTAAAGCAGATGTTCAGGGAAGCTGGAGGATTTTTGGCATTCCAGTGCTTCCCCAGCATTCCCAGGCATCTCCACTGAAAAAGGAAAAAATGTTGCAACTTCATTCCAGACATTTTTGCCTCATTATGACCATTTTGCCCAGCAGAGCACTGAGCTGGACTGGCTGTGCCTTTCACCCAAGGCTCTGCTGTGGGGTGGCAACTTCAGGGGTTCTCACCCATTTTTCAGTAGAAAGAGCAGAAACTTCTGCTGGATGTGACTTCAGCATTGTTTCTCCTCTTTGAATCCTTCGGAGTGAATCTGGAAAGTCAAACTTGGATCCACAGAGAAGATTGGGGTTTAACAATCATCACAGTGCAGCTCATTCTCAGCCAAATTTCCTCTGCTGTCTTAAGTGGAGTAGGAGAACTTCGTGTTTAAGCTATTAAAAGTGATTTTCATCATTTAAAATCTCAGAGTACTTTGAAATCCTGCACTGCCTCCCTGCACTTTGGAAAAAAAAACCTGGTAAACTTTTACAAGGCTTTTTTTGGTTGTTTAACACTCCAAGTCTTCTGTGGTACCAGTGGTGGCCTCGTGGTATAGTTAGAAACCAAAGAATTACAGAATCACAGGATCATCAGAGCTGGAAGGGACCCTTGAGGATCATCCAGTCCAACTCTTGCCCTGCACAGACATCCCTGACCATCACACCCTGTGCCTCAGAGAATTGGCCAAACACCTCTGGAGCTCTGTCAGCCTTGGGGCTGTGACACTGCCCTGGGAGCTGTTCAGTGCCCAAACACCTCTGGGGAAAGAAGAACCAGTTGCTAATCCCCAGCCTAACCCTCCCCTGACACAACTTCAGCCCATTCCCTGGGTCCTGTCCCTGGTTCCAGAGAGAAGAGGTCAGAGCTGTCACTATAGGCACAGCCAGGCTTGCCCTGTCCTGGGGTCTGATTGTTCCCCCTCCATTTTCAACTCTTATATCACTATTCTTAATTAAATTCCACATTTTAGACTATGCACTGAAAACATTTCAGTCTTTCACAATGAAGTTGGTCTTGGGTTTCTGTTCCAGAGCTGTTTGTAGCATCATTCCACAGAGTAAACATTTTAGTAACTACATTGCTAATTCGAACTTTATAAAACTTTGGTCTCTGTGTGTATTTTCCCTCTCAGTAGAAGCGAAGGGCATTCCTGTCTGGTTCTGCTGGCCAAAATTCTCCCCTTGCTGTAGTTTTCACCCTTTCAAATCCTAAGCAAATGTCAGAACTCTGTGGGATTTGCTTTCCTCAGATACAGAGCACAGTAACACGTTTGGCACATCAGAACTGAAGCTTTCACTGCTGTGAGCTCACAACTACGAGGAGAAGTAAGTAAAGTCAGAGCTCAAAATGTGCTGAGATGTTGGAGAATGGAGGGACATAATCCTGGGGAAGGCCAAAAAGAGCTAGGCCTCAGTCCCCTGGGAACGTACAGACACAGTCCTGGGAACACACCTGGGAATGCAGTGTACAAGCAAGGCTCTGGAGATAGTAACTTATATAGATAGGGAGTAACTCAGCTGGGCAGATGGCAGATGGCAGGGGTAACTCGTCCTTGGGGGTGAAACAAACAGGTTCGAGAAAAACAGCTAGGAATGCACCCAAGCCTGGGAAAGCAAGAGATAAGCCTCACAGCTGCAGCTGTGAGTGAGGGGAGTAC